CCGTAGTTCACGTCTACCAATACCGCTTTTTGTCAACGCTGCCACATAGGGTAAAGGTCGCAATCACCGACAGATTGTGGATAATTGAGGAGTATTTGTACAAGAGAACGTAAATGACAAAATTGACAAATTTTATTTTTCTTCATAAAATATTCCATGTATGTATACCATTTAGGTACAATATTCTTTTATAAATAGTTATAATTAATGCTAATAGAATTTAAAATATGAAGAAATACATTTTAATTGTTTTTATATTTTCTATACTTTTATATTCTTAAGTAATTTGCAATAGTTTAGAGTACTTTCAGATTTAAAAAATCACTACCTTCAGCTCTTTCTACAACTAGAATGTGAGATATACAGGCTTTTTCGATACAATGTTATTTCGTTATATTTACTAATTTGTTGTCAAAGCTGGTATTACAGACATGTACCAAATTTCGTTACATTTTCTAAACCATTAGCATTGACAGAATGGCTTTTAATTTGATTTTTACAGATTGTATTCAGTACTATAATATCTTCAAAAATACCATGTCATTTTTTGAAAATATTGGCAATTTACCTTGTAAATTTAAAATATTGGCACATCAATTTCTTAAGAAACTGTTAAAACCGACAATAATTTGAACCAGAATCCAATAAATTATTTTGATTAATATATTGCAACAACTTCCTTTGAAATTATTTAAGAAATAATTACAGAGTTTCGCTTAGCCGTAACTTAGTCATTCAAAAGTCTAACGGCAGGCACCTGGTAAATAAAGCGTTACTATTTAAGATTCATTGGATAAAAATATCGAAACAATAAATCGAAGTATAAAGAGAATAAATAAGAATAAATGTTTATATCGGTTTCACATTTTAAGAAGGACCAGGAATTAATTAACAGTAGGTTCATTAATTGTTTAACTTCCGATTATTCAGATTGTAAAGATACATTTATTAGTTATTTATTTAATATATGTTATTTGCGACAAATATAACAATAATGCTCGTTCAAAATCAGAATAACATCTTCTTGTTACTCGTGCAAATTAATATAAAAATGCTTTCATTAATGTTTCGTAAATCTAAAGAAAGAAGAAATTAAAGCAACCGACGTGCATACTTCCCAAAACTCGTTAAACCAACTATATCCCAGAGATAAAATGATTGCATTTGTTTACGTCGAAGCTCGCGAGAAAGAAAAAAACATGATGCATCGAGTTGAAAAAATTCAGCTGGACTCCAAAGTCCAAATTTCGAGTGGCGCCTTAGACGGTGATCGGCCACGAAAGTCGAAAGCCTTTCTCTATCGAACGAGTTTCGAAATCGTCGAGGTGAAATTGCCGAGGAAAGTTACGAGCTGGTGTAGCTGAAAAGGAAAGAAGAGAAAAAGTCACAATAAAACTCGGAACGTCTCGCGTTCGTCGGCCGCGCGAGCGCGAGCACGGCACGAACAATGAAGTCCGTGGTCTCGGTTAGCCGTTGTTTTATTATGTTCAACTGCCACGAAATAATTAGGCTCGTCCCCGTGGCTTTCGTTTACGATTACGGGTTCGAACCCGTGACCGCGTCTACAATCCGAAGCAACCATGGACCCGCAGACGTGCCTTGTCGCTCGAATAATCGTTTGTAAGGGGCAATCGTGACCAAAGTATGCTAGTTAAGTCGAGACTTGGCTACGGATAAATGAATGGAGACTCGATTCACCAAGGAAACAATTTATAGAACGATTCAGGTATTTTTACTCGAGGACGCGCGCCCACGTGCTACACCACGCTTCCCGTTTCCATGGATTACAAGCAATTTCGGTGCTTTCGGGGCGGACTGTACTTCTGGTCACGTTTGCATGCCATTGATCCTTTCGCACGAATTAGGAGCAAAGATAAAGCGGTTTGGTAACGATAAGGTTTGAAAGGAGAATTATTAAGAGGATTTAAAACACGATTTAAGTACACCTTTCGCCATTTTTATTGCAACGTATGCTTAGATTCGTTGCTGTGAAAAGTTATATGAAAAAATCACATTAAAAAGTTATACCGAAAAATCAAACTGAAAAGTTATACTGAAAAAAGTCACACCAAAAAAAATGATATGTAAAAATAATCATACTAAAACGTTATATTAGAACGTCATACTAAAATGTCATATTGAAAAATGTCATTAAAATTGATGGTCGAACTCAAAGATCACATTTGAAAGTCAAATTCAAAATTCTTACTAAAAGAATCAAATTCAAAATTCATACTAAAACAAGCTGAAAATTCATACTAAAATGTCATATTGAGAAGTCGCATTAAAAAGATCAAACGGAAATATCATACGGGGAAAATCGTATCGAAATGATTGCCTGACGGTATTTTTGGAAAAATGATTTAGTAGATCCATTTATATGTATGCTGTAACTCCTTGAGATTTGAATAAGCATCGCGGTCGAAAGGATATAACGCGTACGAACGAGCATAGGAACGTCTACAAAATTGTTTTCCGGTTTCTCGTGGTACACACAACAAAGGCATTTGTATTCAAATTAGAATATATCACAGGGTATGATACAATTTTATTTCGACGTTGTCTCGGGGAGATCTGCGGAGCGCGGAACGACGGAAGTGCAATTTCGATGCGGTTTTCCGAAACGCGTTCGCGTTAGATTGCGAGATATCGCGATATCATCGTACGTTAACAAATATGTGCGGACATCATCTGCAGAACCTTGTTGCGGACTCTCCCGTACAGTCTAGAATATTCCGAGTCACATCGTGTTAGCGTAACAGAACTTCCGCGTTCAAACTAGATTACGTGAACTAGAACTATGCTTAAACACAGTTTCGTTGAAACTGTGCAAACGTCGGGTGTACACAGGAAAATTAAAGAGTTTCGCTGAATGCACAATCTTTATGTAACGTGCGATACGCTTATCTTATTCTCCGCTGGAAATGCGATTGATATTTAGCAAGATGTAAAAACATTTTGAATATTTATGAAAATATGCAAAAATCGTTGCCCTCTTACCGAATATCGAAATGGCAAACAGCCTATCGTAATCGAATTTATGAATGACTGTGCACATGTGTCATCTGTAAAATTTTAAAACTGTCTCTGACGTATTTATATTCTTCATTTATAAGAGATGTACATAATACTAGGCATAATTTGAGTGAAGATTATCGAGCAAATATGTACACTGTAATATTTGTAATATGTATAAATATCAAAAATGCATTTGTTATTGCATTTGGAAAATTTGTTCACCTACCAACAAGCTCTACCTATTCATAAAATATCGTTTGCAATAAATTTATAAAATTCTATATCGTTAGGAACAATTACTTCATTTAACATTAGATGTAGGAAGCAACAAAAGCAGCTGTTTTACATTAATCTATAAAAGTAACAATAAGACATTTATTCTGATCTTTAACCATTGTTATTATAATATCTGTTGTAAGTAATACATATATGTATTGAATAAATAACTCATAAATGTATCTTTACAATCTGAATAATCGTAAATTGAAAAATTAGCGACCCGTCAAAATGATATATATTGATATATTGATAGATTTTATGAAATAAATGTATGAAATAGTATAAACATCGGTGCTTGATAACCTATGAAACGTAAAATATAAGTATTTTTAAAGCTTATTTTTTTAACCTATATTACGTAGGTACATTTGAAATAATTGTTTACCTCTGTATCGACGCGAGCACTGTTCGAAATATTTCTATGTTTTACAAGCACGAGTAACATGGGCTTCATTGATGTATTTGAGACACTAGTTTACTCGGCGCCGCCTGAGAGGGGACACGCGGGTGCAAAGAGTCGGATATGTAACAAGCATAATATTTTACTGAACACGAACAATTCGTTAAATATTCAAACTGAGCGTCTGAGAACGCAAACGGCCGTGTTGCGGTGTTGGCAAGACCGCAACGCATTTTTCGCGCGAAAGAATCGCAATCGCGGATTCGAGAAACGAGTGCCGCGAACGGCGCGCAACGGAAAAACACGAAACGAAAACACGTCGAGAACACGTCGTCGGTACGAGGTTCAGCCCGAGGCGGCGAACAGGTCATCGCAAGTTCGAGCGAATCACCGCGCGCACGAATACATAATAACAATATCGTTCGACGAACAACCGACAATCGATTCGGCACGCACGAAATTGAGAACATACACGGACACTCGATTTGCCATAACAGATTATGTGTGTTTAGTATACCTGGCGAGCCATCGGATGAACACAATTCTAGCGGAACACCGTCTGCAAGAGTTTTCCCAATTCGTTTAAGGACCGACGCTTGACGCGACAACAACAATAAACACGACCTCTCTCTGACGTTCACGGGAAGGAAAAAAGGCCTGTTTTCGAATTTGTTTTCATACCAATTCGCTTGTAGCCGTCGCAAACTTTCACTTCTGTCGACGACAATACGAGCACGGAAAATATTGTGAGAACCGATGACATTAACTATTGATCGATCGTTGACAAAAGCACCGCAGAGCGGTTATCAGATTGGATTGGTAATTTCGTGGTAACATTTTTTTCTTTAACAATTATGTAGCAGTCTTCTCGTTTGGTACGGCACGGCGTAAACGTAACAGAACGCGAACCAATGCCGTTGCAGGAACGTTTGCGCCACGGTACCACCGAGTACCAGCGCGAGTCACAACCGCCACGAGAGAATTCAACCAAAGAGAGAATTTCTCGGCGAGACATTCGCGCCGGCGGTTTCAACATGGCATTATCACTGGCGATTCTCGATTCTTCGAACGAGCCGGAGAAACGGTCCCCGCGATATCGTAATCTTTCGAACGAAAGTGATCGCCGGAGCCCAGGCGGATCAAGGTACCGTTGATCGATCATTTCGGCTTCGTTATAGACGGTGCGACGTAGAATCGCGGTTTCTTCCAACGACATTGACAGGTTCGCGAAAGAAAAGGTGACAAATAAAGGTGTTCCGAGAGACAAAGCGGTTGGACACGACTGTGAAAGAAAAAGTCTTACCTTGAAAAGATGCTCGCTACACTCGAACATTGGTGTGCTCATGACGGCGGTCGACATGTTCCCTCTCGGTGTCGCACAAAAAAAAAGTATATAAATATATATGAAACACTGGAGTAGCTAGGCGCAATATATCTTCTCGCGATCCGATAGTGGCTAGAGAGACTTCTTCCTTATCGAGATCAGGGCGACGTGCGTGCCGTTGTACCAGCGCGAAATTGAAAAACCGCGGGATCGAAACTTTTCCTCGTGGAAACACAAAAACTGCCACTCCGTGATTATAATTCGGTCGTTGATTTACATTGGAAGCACACCCGTGTCGATATTCTCAATCCGCGACGGAGAGACCAGCCAGAACCCGAGCCGGATTTTGTCACGGTATCGGAGAACAACTCGAAACGATCTCGGCGAGCGTCTCCTCTCTCGCGTCGACTATACGGTGCAGGAGAACCACGGTCCGTTGCTCCTCTCTCGGTTTCGAGGTTCTTTGCTTAGTGCGGCAGTCACGTGTCGAGGTCGGGATACCACCGTGAAAAACGAGAAACGATACTCTTCTTTCTATCTAATAACGGTGACCGACGACAAAGGATTTTGTATGTACTACGTGCTTCGAGATAACTTGGCACTCGTTTTCGTATTGCAGACTGTGAATCGCGGCTCCCTTGGAGGGGAAATTTGAAAGCTCCCTTTCGGATCTTTCTTTTCCTTCTCGAGGAGAAACAGCTCGCAGGGGCTCCGAATGCGAACTGAGGATGCGCGGATCCGTGCGGCGGCCCGTGAGACACGAAAGGCGGCACCGTGCGGCCGGCCAATCACGGTGCGCCTCGCTGCCTGCTTGACCCCCACCGTTATATCGCTACTTGCGAGCGGACTTGGCAACTACGCCGGGTCGTCCGGCCAATCGTACGAGACGTCCGTCTCTCTCTCATGTTAGACCGGTACCGGCAACCCCTTGGTCCGCGAAAATTTCAAATGATTCCTCTGTGCCTCTTCGCCACGACGCAGCCCCTCTTATTGGCGGAGATACGATTGGGGTGGTTTCCTGGTGCACAATAACATGGCTGTTTTCATCGGGGTCCATATCAATGCGAACAGAGCGAGTATGAGAATTATTCAATTTTAGTTGTAGATTGTAGAGATTTATAGAGATTTATTTATTTAGTTTTATTTATATACTTAGTTCTATCTATTTAGTTTTATTTACTTACTTTTAACTCTTAACAGGAATATCGTGGTCACGGCAGTCTCACGCAACTTTAAACAATTCATCGTTAATATACATTACTGTAATTATCTAAAAATTCATGTAATCCTCTATTAACTCATCAAGTTTGCAATGTTCCAACGTAAATTGACTTGCACTTACTAATTAAAAATATGATGTATAACTGGCAGTGATTGGTAGATCTGGGTGAAAATATTTGAAAAGTTATTGTAAATAGTTAATGGGATACATCTGTTTGTATGAAATAATATTTCAAGATTTATTGGATCTCTCTCTCTCTCTCTCTTTATGTTGTCGTAAAGAAGATTATTAAATGAAATAATATTTTCTTGAGATGCACTGGAAATAGTTATTTCATTATTTGAAATAGTACTTCATGTGTTTAAATTTCTATTAATTGTTTGAAATTCTGTTCGCTACGATTAATATTTATAAGAGAGAACAAACTTATTGAAAGTGTGCGAACACATATTGTTTTGAAAAATAAGCTTCTTCTTATATATTTCTCTTCATTTATTAATGTAATTGGAATATTTAATATCTGTTTGCTTTTAATAATGCACATATCTGAAATGTAAACACTAACATCATGATACATTCACAGTTGCTGGGTCGGAAAAATTTCATGGAAATAGTATTTCAAGCGTTTCATTTCACGCACAATAAAGAGATTATTATTTCAATTAAGTATTCAGATTCATATCGTAAAATATGTTTTAAATACTTATTATATGTATATTTGTAAAATCACTTAAATATCGCAACTCGCGTTGAGTAAGGAAATAAATTTTACTATTTCAAATGAGGCATTATTAAATCATTAAATGTGAACTGTATACTTTATTCTATAATCTTACTGTAGAATTTACGCATTTCATACTTAATGACCTAATGACACAGGCGAGAGAAATGGTATTTATGAACATTTGTATATTTTAGTGGAAATATTTTTACACAGGTCTGGTAATTGGCAGTCCGGTTAAGAGTTAATTAGACTGCGGATTTTATGTATTTATGTTAGAAATGAGGTGGTCAAATACGAGACATTAAAGCCAGTCAAAGCGTTTGAGGATATTGTTATTGTTACATTACAGATTTGTGACGTGAGTATAACGCGCCAATAATTTTGCAACCATCGTTTTCATACAACACGATTTCTTGTATATCCCGCTTCAGAATAAAATTAGAATACATAAAGACGAACAGATAATTACGTTGAAAAGAAGACGTTAGAACATAACTTTAGGCAATTCGGACACTGATTAATGGTCAACACTACAACAGTGTCTTTCCGGTTTCGCTTAACTAATTATAACTATTAAGGTTACCCATGAGAAACGTGGTTTTCTTTTAAATTGAATAAACGTTGTCACCCTGTTCACGAACTTGATTTACTGCGAATTTTTTTAAGGAATTTGGTTATACCGTTATAAAATGGTAGGCCAAACTGTGGATAAGCTACATATGAGACATTTGATGATCTTTGAGTTTTGAAAAGGTAAGAGTGGTGTCAGTGTCACAAGTGCCATTAATTTTGAACACACAGCATAAAAATTGCTATTTTCACCGTCTTTAATTGTTTACGTAACAACGATAATCAATTTCGTCGGAATTTTCGGCATGCATATCAGTAACTGTGATCTACAAAATGCAACGTTTAAAGTTTAACTATTCACGCAAATAAAAAAGTTCAAAAACACGGGTTTTTGTTTGTTGTTTAATAAACTAGACCTTCTAACATCTCAAAAAAATTCTGGTTATTTGTGAGGCATTGTTTTAAATTTTATTTCGTATTGAAGAGTCTTTCTTTTATTTAAAATTTCAAATGACAGCTACACATTCTTCTTATTAGCAATCGGAATAGGGTTTCTCTCAACAACAACTTTTATGAATCAAGAAAAGTTGGATACACGTTGTTTAAAATTCGTTTTCTTTGATTATGTAATTTTCCTCGCCCGTAACTGTTACCACAAATGTATTTTTATGAACAATTAAACTTTCCCGATCTATAATCGTTACTATACATGTGATCTTACGAATAAATAAAATAATTCTTTTTGTTTCGAATTAATACGAACGATCGAAATAAACTGATGATTAATATGAATGACTTAACCAGAATTTCCTTCAGTGATAACTGGTATGAATAATTAGAATGAGTCTCCTTCGTCGAAAATTCTTACAAGAGACTGAAATAGAATTCCCACTGTCATTACTATTCAATGGCAACGAAAAGAATTCTCGGTTAATTGTAATTGTTGTTTGGAACCAACAATTGAAATCTTTTAATCATGTGTATTTTTTAATTTCGTTTATATTTCGCGATTAATAGTTTCGATTTGAATAATAAACATGTATTTTTTATTGATCTGTTCCACCAAAATTTTTCAAATGCTTGTTATTTTTTTCCCTGAGTTTGATGGCGTACGTTGACAAGAAATTTGGAGTTGCTGGCCAAACGTTAGCTTTTATACAGGGCAGTCGAGTAAGAATTAGCACTCTTACATCTCCATTATTTTTTAAGATATGCAGAAACTTTATAAACAAAAGCATTTCGGTATATAGAGGTGTGTTATGCATTAATGGCAAAAGTGAGTGGCTGAAATATAAAATTGCAAAGACATAAAAAGAATTTTATAATATCGTGCGTAATAATATTTTCAACTTATCAAAATTAATAAAAGAAATAATTTATTTATATTGAATTTCTGTTTCTTACAATCGTTTTTAAACATTTCTATTTTCCATCAATATTTGCATTCTAATAACAATATTTGTTGCCAGCTGTAGAAGTGCTGGTAACTTTAAGGTCACCTTCGATTTTTTAAATGAATTCGTATCTTTTTATACATTACGTGATACAGTTCATCATTATTTATAAAAATATATGATTTATAAATCCCTATACTGAATAATAAAGTTAATAAAGTTTCTTTACATCTCCAAAAGAACAAAGATATTCAAGTGCTAATTTTTACCGCACCTCCTTGTATACATACACATGATTGTATTTTAAATTTATGAACATGAAATATAATTGTGGAGGCCAAGTATCGATAAAATCACCGAAAATTTTAACCTGACAATATAGATTGTAATAAAATTATTATTGTTGTAGCACTCACTGAAATTAATTACAAAATGAAAGTGTGATAAATTGTATTCACGTGTTGGGTGTATTAATTCATTGACTACCTGAGAAACTTGCCGGTTAGATATACTAATAGCTATTTTAAATAGAAATGGAAGTAGAAGTGGAAGTATTTTCACGTGGCATGGAAACTTCAAAGAGCTACCACCTGTGTTTGCACGCTACATAACCGTGCTGAATGCTATGTATCTAAATATAATTTCAAAAACGAGCAGCAGCTGTTGGATCAAAATCAACATCAAACACAAAGGTCATTTAAGAACATACTTTGAATAAATTTGAGCCGCTTCATTTATCAATTTAATCGGTATTACTATCGGTCGCAATTAATTATGCTATCACTTATGCTATTTCGCGTAAGCAGTTTGCACGAAAGTTTCATTAATTCTTTTGCACAATGACTATTACAATTAATTATCTTCCTATTAACACTCGGACGACGTAACTCTAATCTAATTGATTTCTGAAAATTTAGATTTTTTCATATATTTCATTAAAGTCTATAGAAAAACTAACGTATCTAAATTGGATATGTCAGAAAATATACTGATATATAAAACTATAAATAATCCTTAATTTTTGTCAAGAAGGTCTGCCGTTCGAATGTTAACACAAGTGACACGTTCGTTATATATGAATGTAATTTAACTAACGAAATCTTTACTTAACCTAATTTGAATTAGTCCAATTCGTTTAATTTAACTAATTTCAATTAATCTAATCTTTATATTTAATGAAACCAAAACTAGGAATACAAAATTTATCAGAATAAATAACATAATAATTTAATCCTTCCGTGGTATAAAATGTTAATTATTAATTAATGTTAATAATATTTGTATACTGCGAAAGGATTAAGCTAGCACTTACTATGATAAAATTTAACATCTTGATTTTGGTTTCATTAATTCAAGCACTTTGATTTCGTAGTGATTTTTAAAAGAAGTTAATTTCGAGCATTTGACGTCTTAAATATTTTTTTAATCGTGCAGTTTGACAAATATCTATGTTACAAAATTCTTTCAAAGATTATTATCCTATTACTCTAGCAATATGCGCAATGCCTTCAACTGTGAAACACACAAAAATAACCGTAACTCGGAAACGTGATCGAATGAATCACGAACTTATGCAATCTTTTTTTCCATTATCTGCGTTTTCATGTTGCATTTATGTTGGTTAAATCCACGAAACAAAGAATAGACAACTTAAAGTGATAACATAGCATGCATTGATCTTTTTAAAGTGCTCTTTAAAATAGGAAATTAAAGAAATATTGCAAAATATATTATTAGAGGAATGTCGCCAATTATGGAATACCAATTTGTTTGTACCAAATAAAAAATGTTTATAGTCGCATATTTACGCGTCTGTCTAGAGAAATTTT